TTCTCGATATAATAGACTTCCTCCTCGCCAGGGAGGGCACTCACTTACTCATTGTGCCATGTCATCATGAAATTCTAGATTATTCGACCATACAATCGGTAAGGGGAAGATGCCGGTGTCTACTTTTTATTTCTTCTAAAGACTCAGCTTGTCTGTATCCTCTCACCATTCTAGTTCATTTTGATGCCATATTTTTTTTCTTTGCCCCCTTTGCATTCTGGGTTTTTATGCTCTCCAACCATAAAAGCTCACCTAAGCTAAAGGGTTTAATCATGTGCAACTTCAATCTAGCAGCAGATCTGGTTACCAATTGTCAATCTTTTTCATCTCTTTCTCTAAACTCTACTCTCTCTGTCTTAATCTCTTACTTACCTGTCTCCCCTTTTGTGATCCTAGTGTGGGCAATTGATCCAATCAGTAGTTTGTGAGGGAGGTACAGGTGAGAATGAAAATGAAGAAAATGGGAACAAAGGAAGTCATACAGATAAAAGAATAAAATGGGAAAAAAAGAAGACCATCTAATTCTCCAGTTACAATTCTCCCCTCCAATAAACCAAGCAATAAAATCAAGTTAAAATGGAAATCTATACAAATTCCCAAGAAAAAAGATAACAAGAAGTAAAAGAAATTTCAATTTAAACAAAAAAAGATCTCATTTTCTCTTCATTTTCTTGCAATTCGAAGCAACGAATAACTTATTAAAATCAAAACAATGATCTAAAGGATGAATTTGTTGTTGAGTTGAAGTCGGGTCAACAAATTTGAAAACAAATTTAGGAACCCATATGGGTTCCTCGTTGTGCAGCCTTGCCAAATCTAGATCTAGAACATTAGACTTGAAGAAGGCATGAATGGAGAGGAGGCTTAGCAACGGAGAGAAAGAGAGAGGCAAGGGTGAGAGGATGCCAAGATCTGTTGAAACCTAGACTAAGAATAGAGATGGGTAGTGGATTTTATGGAAGGGAAAATAGCTAGACTGGAGAGGAAAGGCTTAAGCCAACGAGGGAAATCGAGGGGCAAGAAGAGAACCAACATCGGAGAAGGAAGAGATTGCCAGCAATGGAGAATGGAAAGGGAAGGGGAAGAAAGGAGAAGAAAGGAAGAAGGTGGGGAACCACAGAAAGGAGAAATAAGATAACCCAAATAAGCTAAGGATAAGCTTTTAACATTATAGAAATCTATTTAAATCATATTATATTTATTGAACCGAATAGGTGTAGGTAAGGGTGTTAGTCGGCAAGGTAAACATAGCATTGTACTTATCTATTATACTTTTAAATTACACTTTTTTTTTTAAATTTTTTATTTTTTAATAAATTAAAAAAATATAATAATTAGTTAAAATAAAAAATATATAATATTAGTAATTGAGGTTGTGATTATAATATCACCCTATATGTCTATATCACTAAAAAAAAAAATTAAATTAAACTTGATAATGAGTTGCCATTCAAATTGATAACAAGCTCATTTATTTAGCCAAATTCAAATACTTAAAAGATTTACTTTTCAAATTGGCCAAATACTAATACTAATAAAATGTTTTTTTTTTTTATTATTGAGGCAATTTTGATCGGCCTTTAGAACTTTTATGCAACGCCTGTAGAAATGATTTGGAAATGGAGGAGGTTAAAATCAAATCATTTTACTTCTCTTACTAGTTGAAGTTTTATTGAATGAAAGGAGTTCCATTCATGAGCACATATGATTTTTGTTTGAATGGGATGTGTTCTAATTATTGTCTATGTTTAAATTATTTTAGTGTTACTTTCTCTTTAATAAATTTTTAAAATCAATTAGTTAAGTTATAATTAATATAACCTCATAGGTACATAATATTTTTTTTGTTATTTAGAATCTGTTTGGTTTGTTAAGAGAGGTTATTTAACCAATTAAATTATTTAAATAATTTACTGAACAAAACAATTTAATTAATTAAAATAAGTTCCATTCTCCTTCCCTGGTCTTCTCTCAAATTCATCACACAGAATTCTTAAAAAAACGATATGCGAGTCAAGAAGAAGAAGTGAGGTTGAATTTTTGTCATCTATTGATGATATAAGGATTCCACATGACTAGTGGATGAGGAAATTATAACATCAAATTTGGGCCCTACTCCTTACTTCCCCTCCAATCGACGAAAAAAAAAAAAAACACTTGCAATACAATGGTCATATATCTCATGTAGCCCATCAAGCTTATATAGAATTAGAACTTAGCTTTCTTTTTAACTTGTGAATTTAAATTTAAATCAAATTTAATCTTATTTAAATTCATTTTAAATAATTTAGTGGTAATTTAATTCATTTACAACCCTTATTATGCACTTATTAAGATTATTTTTTGTACATGTTTATTTTTCACAAATTCAAGAAGCCCCTTGAAGTCATTCACATTTTTATGAACATTTTCAATCCATTCAAAGTATATATTTTCCATCTCTGATTTCTTCATTTCTAGTGACACCCCCACATCTGTGTACCTATAACCATAACCAGCAAAATGATTACTTCAAAAAGATTTTTTTTTTTAAAAAAAAAAAAGAAAGAAAAAAAAGAAAAGAAAAAAGAACGAGATAAAATAGAACTGACAATGACCAAGAACAAAGAGAACTCAATTATCTTCATCTTCAATTCATTGCATTTCAAAAGAAGAACTAGAACACATGGTCATCATCTTCCTCTTCTTGTAATTTGCCTTAAAACAGGCTTGTCTGAGTCTCTTGGTCTTGTCCTCCAATTGCAAATCCGGTGCTTGTTCCAGCATCTTCTTCTCCATCTCCAAAACTTCTATTGCTTCTCTCAATTTCCGTTCACTTTCTTGTCCTTCCTCCTTCTGCAACTCCTGCATTTCCCATTCATTATCCATAAAAAATTAAACAAAAAAAATTTCTAAGAACTTTTCATATCATATACATATATATACTTCATTCCAAGCGAAGAGTTAGAGCTTAGTTATTGCAGGATATTTGCAACTCTCACCTTAAATTCATAACCAATTTTAATAATCTGCAGGTACTGCAAAATTGATTAAACTCTTATTTGTAAATAATCTAAATACCTGTACATTCTTTATTAGGGTTTGGAGGCTCATCAGCTTGCGGTGTGGCCAACGGCAAATTCCCAACTCTCTGCACCTCTTCTTCAACAGTGTCAAGCCAATGTTAAGCTCCTTAGCAGCTTGGGTGATGGGCATGTAGAAGTACTGAGAAATAGTTTTCCTCGAAAGCATTTTTGAAGAAACGATATTGTTGTTCTTGTCATCCGATTTGCACCTTTTGATCTTCCTCTGTTGTTCCTCATCTTGCCTCAACTTGTCATCGTCTTCAGCTTTGTCACACAGGAACAGTGTCTTTTTCTTTGGTTCGAATAGGGCCCCTAGTTCACCCCAAAACCCAGTTCCACTCTCATACCCACAAAACAAGTTCTCTGAAAAGAAAAATGTTGTTTTCAAGTTCAATACACATGATATAAGGACGTACGATTTGTGTATAGATGAAAATAGTGAAGAAACACGATTGAGAACCTTGAATTTGAGTTGAGATCGGCTCGATATCCGTTACTGCTGGATATAAGGGATCAGTAGTGAAATCACTCATCAAAGGTTCAACATCGAGAATGGTCTCCTGGATGGGGAATTCAGTTTGCCAATCTAAAGGGCAATGCCCATAATTCTCACTAAAAACATCAGGGGAAAAAAAATTGTCAAATCTAAAGCACGCAAAAACAGAGGAAAACAATTGAAAACCATAATGTATGCGTCACCTTAGATAATCAAATGCAGAAAATTGGGTGGGAAACGTAAACGGGTCTTCTTGTTTGGGGACAATGTTCTGGTAATTTGACCACCCCTGTAGCGAGTGAGTACTAGCCATTTGATCCATTTTTCGTGAAGGGGAGAGGAAGAGGAAGTAAAATCAAGAGGCAGAGAGGAAGAAATTAATTTGAGTTGGGAATATGTAGCATTTGATTTGATGAAGAAGAAGATGAGTCGTATAGAACGGCATATATAGTGAAGGGAAGAGACGAAGAATCTAAATTGAGTGAGAGAGAGAGAGAGTATTTAGTTGTTGAAGATCGTGCGCCGCCGCATGGATAAAAACCGGCTATGCATGAATCAATCTTTCTTCCCCCATATTAAGTGCTCTTTTGAGAGTTACTAGGTTCTCTTTATTTTTTTTTTCCCCCATTTTTTTCATTAAATTTTCAATAAAAAAAACAATTTTTAATAAAAATAATTTTATTTTTTAATACTTATTTTATAATTTAAACTATATTATATTATAAAACAAAAAGTATTTGATAAAAAATAATTCATAATATCAAGCTACGTCTCTCATCTAATGATTTAATTTGTACACTTGGATTGCACAAAATCTTTTTATTAATTTTTTCAATTTGTACCGATGAAAATTGACTTGTAATAATTGTGTAATTGTACATATTTAATTTATTAAAATAAAAATATATTTTTTAATTTTAACTGATAAAATTTGTATTAATTTGAACTAAAAATATGAATTTTAAAGTGTGAGAATTATTAATAAAATTTGATAATTAAATTGGTGTATAAATCATATTGAAAGGAAATTAGTAGTAGAAATATGGGTTTTTGGTTTTGCAATCCATGCATGGGAGCAACGTGTATGAGCTAATTAAGCCCTAGAGTAAAGACTAAAGAGCACCTAAGTGGCTAACTAGGACAGGTTGACTGCAAGCGTGGGGAATTTGTCTAATTATGTTTATCCGTTGATTAGTAAGGGATTAGCAAAAAACAAACTCAAGATGACAGCTTCACAAATTATTATCATCGTTTTCCTAACCCTGTTTAATGATTACACATGCATGCATCAAGGTTGCATCGTCTTGGATTATCGAGAATCCTAAAAAGGCAAAAACCATATCTTTTCTTTAATTATTGGAGATCAAAAAAAAAAGAGAAAATTTTTCGTTTAATTTTGCCAATTTTAATTTGATTTGGGCTGAAAAGCTTTGTAGGAGGGCTGTTGGATTGTAGATGGGCTATGTAACGTATGCAGAGCAATGATTTGGAAAGTGGGGAAGGTTAAAATAAAAATGATTTTATTTTTATTTATTGATTGAAGTTACTTAATTAGTGAATATTGAGAGGAGTTACAATGTTACATTCTTTAAGCATATAATTTGTTTTTATTGTCATTTACTGCTCTACCAAATTACCGGATAATATATTATTGTAATGTGTCATTATATACTATTATTTTAGCCATTTATGGCAAGAGGAGTGGTCATTATATCATATTATTAGTTCTTAAAGAGCAACAAGTTACAACCTTAATAATAATAATAATAATAATAATAATAAAATCACCATTAAGGCACTCTCTTTTTTTTTTTTTTATAAACCCCGAAATGCAATAATTATATTGGATCCCAATTAATTCAAAATAAAATCGCATCAATACTATAAGAGAAAAGCTCTCCAAACGTTTATTTCTCTATTCACAAGACTTATAATTTTATTTAAGGAGAATTGAGTTCGTTTAAGTCAGACCAACAAGTTGTTAGTTATGGCATTCTTTTAACGAAATGTGATAACATCTAAAAGTCTAAGGTTCGAGCCTTGGCATTCCATTCCCCATCTCCCAATTGTACTAGTTAAAAAAAAAAAACTTAAAAAAAAAAAAAACATTACTTTGATTTAAGAAAAAATGAAAAATTAGAATGTCATGATATTAAAAACATTATGATATTCTACTAATAAAAAAAATTATGATGTTTGATTATAACTATTAAATATGTAGGGTATAGTATGGCTCATAATTTTATTAAATATATCATATAACTATTATTAAATATTTTAACATTTTTTAATGCCAATATGTCTTAATTTTTTCATTTTCATTGATTTAATTGTAGTAATATAATGAAAATAATAAATATCAATTTTGATCGTAAAAAAAAAAATAATAAAATTCCAACAACAAAAAAAGTATTATTGGAGCTTATAAATGTAATAAAGGAATAAAGGTTCATGAGACTCAAATATAAAGAAGCACATGCATGAACTACTATAAAGATCAGCTACTCCTAAGTGGATCCATAAACATCAGCAAAAGTGTGACCCGTGTAAGACATTCTCAAGAGGTTTATAAATACCCTCCACCTGTGATGGTAGAGGACTTTCTTTTGGTATCTCTCTCATTTTTTAGTAAATTTAATTTAATTTTTAAATTTTTTAAACATAAATTTTTGATAAAATTTTAATATATTATATAAATGATAATTAAAAAACCTTTCCTAATGAAATTAAAGTATTCAACTAGAACTTCATATAAGAAGAAAGAATTGAAACAATTGTTTTTCATATGAATTGTTAAATTTTCATTTAAAATTCATATATGAAAATTTAAAAAATTATTTTTTTATCTTAGTTACACAATAAAAAACAACTCTTTCTTATTCTCTACTTTACTTTACCTATATACCATGCGATTTAAATTCATGGTTTCTTACTTTCAATAAAAAGAAATTCCCACGAAACTATTTAGGTATTAGATGTTAAAAATTAAATTAAATCTATTAAAAATGGATTAAAAAAAAAGAGTACTAATTTGAGTGTTAGTGTATCTATCTTGTGGATAACTCCCAGATTTATTTTGCAGGTCCCCCTTGCTAGTCAACTCGTGAACCTGAGTACATTTTCTCCTTCAACAAGAACCAGCCCTAATTTTGATTGGCTAATAGGGTCATGAATTCACGAGATTATCTCCCTCAAGTTATCTCTTTATTATTAAAATTTTGCTTCAAATTAACAGTCTTTAAAAATTTTCAAAATGCATCAGTTTTTCCTTTACCGCTTTAACCCAACAGCCAAAGCTGATCACATGCAATAGTCCACCTTTTTTTTTTTTCACCATCATGCACATGTAATAGTCCACTTCACCAACTATTTTTCTCTCATTTTACTATGAACAATAATTAAATGTAGAATTGAAAAATGTTTTTTCATCAGCGATGGAACCAAAATAAATAAATAAATTAATCACAACAAAAGAGTTTATCATTAAAGAGTATATTTTTTTGATTTTTCGTCCGGTATCCGGGGTTTCGCCCCGACTACTCCGGACTTGACCAGCTGTGGCGCACCAAAATGGTGGGTGGATCTCCCAACGAAGGCTGCTGCGTACATAAGGTTTCGAACTCGAAACCTTGCTTAAATTGAAACAAGCCGCTTGCCACTTGATCCAACTATTCGTTGGTATCATTAAAGAGTATATAATATTATATAAAGAAAGTTATATATGAAAAAGACTATAATTGATATATTATTTGGTTTAATATATTACATAATTTAAAAAAATATTATTTTTAAATTTGAATTAAGGAGGAAAAGTTAAAAATTATAAAATTTAATAATTAAACTAGTGAAGGTTGAGAAATATGTTAAATTAAAAAATATACCAATTATTTTCCTACGGAAAAACAATGGAAGGTGCTTCATTTTGTGTACATTTTATTGCAGAGTGCACTCATCTTTCGAAATAAGTTGCAGTAAGGAGTTTGCTTCTTAGTTTAATAATTAGCTTTTGATTTTTAGAAACATTAATGAAGAAATAATTCTTCATAAAATTATCAAATAACTTAAATAACTT